AATAATCATGTTTAAACTAAAATAATAATAATAATAATAATAATATTTATTATCATGCAGGAATTAGGAAATGAATTTCTTAGATACATGAAATCTGGTAAAGCATCACTTTTGACTCCATTCAATCTTTGCTGTTTATTATCAATGGCAAGAATCCATAGATTCCAGGATTTAGTAAGTAAACCAATTAAATAAATACCACAAAAAAAAACCAACCTTTTTAATTTTTTTAATAATTTTACAAGGTTTTCAATTATCTAAAGTCATCTATAATGGCTGTTTATAAAGACAAAGAAAAACTCGAAAGTGCAAAATGGATCTCAAGTAACTATAATAATAATAACAACCATGTTTATTTCTTGATGTTGGATGGATATCTCTACAATAAAAGTCTTTTCATTTTTATTTTAGAGTTAGATATATCGCAAATAGTTAGTTTAATACCACTAGATGATCTTTTTAAAAAGGTATTGAAAAAAACATCCTTTGGTTACGATAATGTAATTCAAAGTTTAGTACAGCTAGGAACTTTTATCATGGACTCTACTATTTCATCAGCTTCTTGTGTAAAGATTACTGGTAATCAAACTAATTCAATTAATTAACTAAACAATTAAATCAATTTTGTTAAATATTTGGATTAATTTCTAAATATTTATCTTTCAAAGAGAAAAAAATTGGATCAAAAACACCAAATGAAGCTGCTAGTGATTTGGGTGTAATCATATTATTAGAAATGTTCAAGGTTAGGATTATCAAAAATGTAACCTTGACTCTTTAACAGCTTGCAAAATATAATCAAAATTATATTATATATATATTTCATTATAGATGCATGAGATGGTTCGTGTTGAAATTTTGGATCAAATACAGTCTCGTGTTGTATCAAGGTCACCTAGTGTTGGTCATTTTTTGACTTTATTAGAAATAATTGTAAAAGAAAAACCTGATTCTTTAAATGATTATATACAAAGAGTCAGTAGAAAAAAATACTTAATTAATTGTTATTGTTTAAAAATAAGATTTTTTAATATATTTTTTATTATATATAGATTAAAGGAACTCTTGATCACTTTTCACTTCTTCCATCTTATATTGCAGATCATCTTTTACGTGCATTACAGCCAATAATTTATAGAAACATTTCAATTCGTGATGGACTTATGTTGGTTTTGAGAAAATGTTTATTTACAAAGTAATTAATTAATTAGCCATTATTGTTAATTTAATTAGTATTACTATTGTTGAATTTTGTATTTATTTATTTTTAGGCGGAAAAACATCTTAATGCACGTCAATTACAAAGAGTTTTAAAATTACAAGAACTAATAGCCAAAGAAATATCAAAACCATCACAAGATGTAGTAGCACATGTAAAACCAACTACTGCAACAGGAGGTCTGGATCGAATAAAAGGTTTGATATTACCAGAAACTACAGCTCACACTGGAGACGACGTTGCAGTTGTTGTGCCTAAGGTAGATCAATTAAAGGATGAATTAGATGATTTGGTTGCATCGGAATGTATTCTTTGTGGTGATCTAATGATTAAAACAATCGAGCAACCTTTTATTAATGGAGAAGAAGGCGATTTGCTTGCGTCTTGGGCCATTTAAAAAATATTTATTTCCTTGAATGTTTCCAAAGAAAAAAATCTTCATCTTATTATAATTTATTATGTATATTTTAGGATGGGTTATTAAACAATATTAATATATTAATTTTTATTTAATAAACGGCAAAACAAATAATTTATTTTTTTTCGTAACTATATAACATGGGGCATACTGCCTACTTTTTCATTTTTTCACCTTCACTTGATTGTTCTGGTTTAATTTGATTTGTTGAATTTCACTTTCTAATTTTCGAGTTTGGACTACATTTTGTTCCTAAATTAATTCAGGCTTCTACTTTTCTAATTCAATATAACTTTATACTGAAGCTACCGGATAAGTATTCGCTGTTCAAGATTATTTTCTTTATCTTCGTTTAAATATTTTAGTTGTCGTTTTAATTGAACAATATCATCCTCTAGTTGCTGATTATTTCTCAAATGTTGAAAGAATAGGAAATATCAATTATAGAAAGGTGGCCAAGTCAGTTTTCTGGCCTAAATCCAATTAAATTAATTAGAGGTTCGTTTTCGAAAAAAATACTAAATTAGTAAAAAATTTAAAGGAATTAGAGACATTTTTAATTGAAGATGTTTACTTGAAATTAGTTGAAGACATGTCCCCCGCAAAATCGAGACATATTAATTGCAAGCATTAAATTTAATGTTTGCCGTTTAACATTTTAATTAATAATAAAAATCAACATTTTTATCGTCATTGTCATCTTTTTTACTCTTCACCCCTTTACTCTTTTCCATATTAACACATTTTTGAATTTTTATTGTTTTTTTCTAGGTTTGTTTTTCGTGAAAGTGGCAATCCTGCAGATATTAAATGAAAAATCCGAGTCTTATTTATCAATAAGCGTTTAAAAATTTTCAGCCTTTTCAATTATTTTTTTTTACTGATGATTAGCTTACTTGTTTATGTTTTTTCGAGCTCTAGTGATTCATTATTTCACCAATTCTTTGGTTTATAAGTTCCTGTAAGTTTTATAACAAAGAGAAAAGCCCCAATAAACATTTCGTAAAAAATAATTTAGGATTATTGTTGATTTATACAAAGATTTGAATGTGCGAGATTCATGCTCAATATAGTAAAGTGTATTCAATATGACAATGATTATTAATTAATATATTTTTTGTTCTCTGCTTAATTTCAATGTCAGGCTGAGAGTAGTTAGTTTATTATAATCTCGGTTCGCTTCATTTTTTTCTGAATTCAAATTAATTTTCTCGTCATCCATTAAAGTAATAATGATTTCGGCCCAAAGGAGGGAGACCAGTTCAAAACTTTCAGAGAACCCTCATCTTCTATTGTTTGACAGATTTTTTTATGTATTCTCCCCCAATTTTCCCATTATAGTCATTAAATTCGATTTTAACTTGACAATTTTGCTAATTCCTTTAAATGATGTGATCAGTCATATTGTAAATAGTTTTGTGGTTCATTCGAAGTAAATGTTGTAATAAAAATAGTGATGTCAGCAGGCTAAGGTTTTTTCAACAGCCGATATCACTAAATATAACCCGAAGAATTTGTAAGCATCAAAGCAAAAATAGGATCAAACATTACATACAGAGATCATAAAAAATTTCCAAAATTTATTTGTAAATATAAACTGAAATTAAAACCTGGTGGAAACAATTAAAGATCCGCTGCGCATTCGGTTCAACGAAAAAATTTTTTTTTTGAAAGTTTGTCGTGTCGGTTTTGCAAGTAATGAGAGTACAATAAAATGTTGCAAAGATAGTGATGTTAATCGATAGAAAAACTTTAGCCGGTTAAGCCGATAAATTTCTTAGCCAGATAACATTACTATTGAAAGAATCACAAATTTAATAAATTATATATACTAATAATACACATAACTAATAAGAACCGACAGGACCGTCGTGACCTTTGATAGTACTAGAGTAAAATGTATTGATTTTTAATTGCAAATTATTAATTATTTGATGTGCATCCAATCCTTGTTTTGCTTTACAATATTGAGATTATACATAAAGTCGAAATTAAAACCCAAAAGTCTAAATATTTCGACCTGAGAGGTCAAAAGTCGAATTAAAAGTTGAAATGGTCGAAATTACATCATACAGCAGGCACATGCAGAAAAATTAATCAAAAGCTTCAAATTGTCACAACTCGGTCAATACCTGGCTGTTTTGGATAAAATAACTATCATTCGAATTTCTCTCGATGGGGTGAGTCTAATGATATGTAATTCATAAAATCTGGATCACTGATTATTGAGATATTTTGGTTTAACGCACATCTTACAATAACTCGCCATTTATTGATGATGCAAAGATTAAAATACCATTATTCGAATCCTCTTTATAAGACTATTCTAATGAGTCGTGTTTCATTAAATTTGGATCACTGGTTCTCAAGATAATTGATTTTATTATAATAAATCATGTGATAATTTTGATTAAATTGTTTTTCGCCGCAGAAATTCATCGTTTCTCTCTTTTACTATACATACATCTAATCTTTTAATTGCTTATACACCCCAGTGTAACATGTCGCGTTTCCAATCAAATTTTTAATTTTGGAGATAGTTTCTAAATTTTTATATAGTTACATGGATCTCAAAAATGATGAATAAAAAGTTCCGCAGTAGATAAAATGTAAAAATTAGTTTTATAAATAAATATAGAATTTTTGATTATTCCAGTCAGAATTATTAACAAATATGGAATTTCCAAATACTGTAAGGATAGACAATCTAGAAATCTTTAGAAAAAAAACAAAACAAAAATGATTGGCTAATTGTATGCAGATCTTTTATTTGAAAAAATAAATTAATAAATATGAAGAAAACTTGGCGAAGGCTTTATTAAATGGTCATATAACCTCCAAAATTTATGTATTATGTTTATTTTTAACTGCTTTACAAGTCTATCAAAAAATAATCTTCAAATTATAATCATAAAATTACCATAAAAATAACTTTTTCATAATGGTTAAATATACTGATGAAATGTTTGAGTTATCAACCTGTCACTCATTCATCAAGAATCTTGTTATTAAAATTAATAAAATTAATAAATAGTATCATGAAATATATTATAATTATAAATTAATTTGTGGATATAAATAAAGTCTATGCCAAATTTTGTATGTGTGTGTGTATATATATTATTTCTTTACCTGCTTATCATTCATTCATTATTATAATTGTTTTCATTATTACTTGTAAATAATTTTAAGATGATTGGAGCTATAAAAATATGAATAAATTATGTTACATCATTAATTTTGTAAAAGCATACTTTGAATAAATATTTAACAAATAGTTTTAAACGATCTTTACTTTATTCCCTAATGCATTTAACATATTTATCTCAAATGATTCTCTGAATATTTCTCAGTGCAGCAAATAAGCAGTGTGCAATTGATCTTGATGTTTACTACTAAAATTCAAAGAGAGAAAAAAAAACTTAAAATTTAAACTCCCAGCACTTAAATTTCTTTAAATTTATGTAAATGCTTACTTTGAACAAATTAATAGGTTTTTGTAAATTTTTAGTAGATTATGAAAAAGCAAGTTCAATATTATTATTTAAAAAACAAAGAAGATTTTCAAAAGGCAGCAAAGTATCACGTAACTTGTTTGCCACACATATAAATTGATCAACAAAGGAGTTCCAATTTTTCTAGATTCGATTTCCAAATTTGGTAATAATCCTGACTGTAATGCAATAGTAAGTTCTAATTTCCAAGCTTTAAATATTTATTTTAGAATTTGTTTATAGAAAAGTATTAATTTTT